GATTTCACAAAATAACCTTGGCATCTTCCATATATATAACTTGTATGGTTCATCCCTTTACATATATCATGCTTAAAGCAAATGTAGAATTACCCACATCCCAATTTCTTGAAACTGATATGAAACATTCTCGATTCCACTCTACAAAATATAAGGACATCTACTGCATTATATGCTAAAATTAAATTCATTAGATTCAAAATTATCCAGACTGTGGGAAATGAGCGATGAAAAGATAATACTTAGTAACAATTTCAACAAAGTTTATATCTTCCAATGAAAAATCAGATTAGACGTGAAAATACATGTATACATGTATCTCATAAATTTAAACCATATTGCTTTTGAGTGAACAATCTTCAGAGTTTCAAATGGATAGTAATACACCGTTCATAAAGTTTGACTGTTTGACATACCGGGTGTTTATAATGGACTTTTGCGATACGCACTGACTTTTTCAGTTGACGGTTTACTTTGATATTTAAAACCATATCATGTACGTTGGTATAGAACTGATGTTTGAGTAGAAAACCTTTTCAGTGGTCACAAGTATGGTGTTAGGGGCAATAACATGTGAAGGCCGGGGGTTGACGGTAGAGTGGTTCTCGTTTTATAAAAGAAAAACTTATTTGTGCTTTTAAATAACCTATTGCTCTCTTTGAATTAAACGCTGAGTTAAATTTTGATATCGTAAAAGAGCTTCCCTACATTGACCCAGTGGAAAAAGGTGTGGTCACGCGATGCGATTTTTCATTCGATTTTCCGTCCGATTTTTTCCCAATCGATTTGCTTTCAACGTACTATAAAAAGTCAGCGCTCCTCTCAAAAGTTCATTTGATAATTTTTATAAAACTCCGTTCTCGTTAGCTACTGACGGCGTGAGTGCGTTGCCAATGCACCTTATTATTATACTGGTAATGTAATATAGCAATTTAAAAAATACATATGCTATACGAGAACCCGCTTTTTATTACATAGGAATACCAGGAGAAATTTATATGAGGGTGTTGAAAATGATGCTTCTTCCTTTGGTTGTGTCAACTATCATAACAGGTTAGAAACAATCTATCATAACAGATTAGAAATTATAACAGGTTATATACAAACTACCATGACAAGTTATAAACAAGCTATCAAAGGAAGGAAGAAATAAACTACCGAAAATAACGGGTAAAAATATGAAAACACAATTTGATCAATTTTCAGTTTTGATTAAATTTAACATAACATATAAGTTTCTTAAATTACGACAGCGCTGTTTTTGAAACAAATCATACAGCATCACAAAGTTTGCAGCATCCATCGATCTTTTTCCTTATCTTATATATGTATTTGTATTTTAAGGAGCTGCTTCTATGGACCCAAAATCCAACGGGCGGATAAGTGTTCTATCTATGGGTTATATCATCATTACCAATACAATAGGAGCCATCATTGCAATAGTTGTCTTCTTAATCATCCAGCCAGGTATTGTGAGAATAAAATATTCCTCATGTACTTTTAAACAACATCCTTCTTTCCTTCAACGTACAGGACCATATCCGATAAAGACTACTAACCCTGAAGCGGGCTACTGAGAAATACACACGTATGTTCATATATCTAATAGGATCAATATATCTCCATTTAAGTCATCAACATTTCGGAAATTCTACGGGCGATATAATGACCCTATATATGTGCAAAACATCTCTTAAGAAGAGTGCAATGACTTTGAGGAATGTAGCCAGAACATCTTTGCGAATGCATCTGGAAAGTAACGAAACATATTTTAGATTAAAAGTTCATCAAACAATACAAAACAAGAGCAGAGCAAACACATACCTCCAAAACATCAGAGGTGGGATCAGGTGCTATGGCGGAGTGAGCATCTCAGGGGACTGCCGATCGGTCACATATGTTATAGTGGTCTTGATGGGTCTGGCCTTTTTTAGTCTAATTTGATCTCCTTTACAAGAAGAGCTCCGGATCCACATACAAAAAATTGATCAAAATTTAAAGCTAAAATGTATGAAAATTTTCTTTGACAAATGGTAGTTGACAGCTTAAGATGTTATATCTTAAAACATAAAATTTTTGGAGATTTGGAGATCCCCAGTTCTGAGAACAGTGATTCTGTACAGACAGACATTGAAACCAGCGACATGTTCGCCGACATGATCAGGTACAAATTTTAAAACAAGATTATTTTTTTAAATATGACCACTTTAATTTTCAAATGACTTCAAGTTATTTTTTTACTGTTTCTCGTTTTGCAGGAACTTTTTTCCAGATAATTTAGTGACGGCTTGTTTCCAAAAGGTTAGATCATAGGAATCTATTCTTTATTAGACTTAGGTAATTCAGAACAGATTTTCATGGAATGAATATGTCATTATTTGATCTTCAAAATCAGCTTTTATGAAATTGATTTAGATTTTTAGTGTTTTGTTTATTTTAACTTCAGATTAATTTTCTCTTCATATTTTTTTTTATTTTTCATTTATTTCTGCAAGTAAATATCTAAAATAAAATGTCGGAATGTCATAAAAAGTTTTGATTCTAAAATATTTATATAGTTGTGAAAGTGAGACCTAGGAAAGATAAAGTTGAATGACTTATTTTCAGACTCAGACTAAATACTCGCATGCCTCACGAGTGGTTTTGAAGAACGGTACCAATAGTTCGGTTACAGTTGTACATAAATCCGTCTCATCAACATCAGGGGTTAACATAATGGGTAAGTTTAATTCAAGATTCATTCATATTTAATATATTCTATACTTCACTGGTGAAGAAAAAAACCATTGCATATCACTTAAACATCCACATTGCGGTGACTGGTGTATGACAGGTGCGTAACGGGTGTGACCGGTCAGCAGGGGATGCTTCCTCCTCCCAGGCACCTGATTCAATCTCGGGAATTTCGGGATTCTGTGTTTTGTTTCCTGTTAACAAATATGTATTGTTTGTAAGATTTTTTTTTTCAATTCATTGTTGTTCATTAATTATTTTCGCTTCTTTCATGTTTAGGTATAATGGTTAATGCAAATTTCTTAAGTTTTATACACTTTTCTCGAGGTTTAAATTGTCTAGGATGACCTAGACCTCTCTAAATACATGTATACTATTTTAAATCATACACAGAAGCTGATTATCTTCTTTAATTTAGAGTTTTAATTCAAGCGTTACAAGAGCCAATGTTCATGATGTAAATTAAGTTTTGTACATTAATAGAGCATCGTTATGAACTTTGTAACAAATTTGATTTCCATCGTTATGTAACAAATAGCCTAATGATATTTTTTAGGTCTTATCATTGCTTTTGCTTGTTATTTGGTATCACTGCCAGCAAGTTAGGGAAGAGGGCAAAACCCTTCATAGAATTGTTTGAATCCATAGACCTAATCATAAATTTGCCTTTAGAGATGACCAGACGACAGTTTTGTTACCAAAAAATAAATATTTTTATCTAACTTAGGATGACCCCTGTTGGAGTTGCAAGTCTGATAGCTACAGCCATTTTGAAAGCGTATGATATAGAAAACGTTTTCAGTAGTATGGTATGTTCGTTCTAGCCCATGTAGTTGGAATTACATTTCATCAGTTGGTGCTTGTGCCAGCCACCTATTTCGTAGCAACAAGAAAAAACCCTCTCTATTTCTTCAGCGCCATTCTTCGACCTTGGCTAACTGTATTTGCACCACCCAGCACGTAAGTCTTTTTTAAGTTAGAAATTAAAGTATTTTACAATTTCTCTAATGATATGAAATAAAGATGTCTTATGACAGAATACTAATGTTAAACTTGTTTTCCAGCGTCAGATGATATAAGACGCAAAACGTAATTACGATCATCTTCTGTTTTACAATATAAACTTTTAAAGATTTCTTTTTTGAAACTTCAAATACGAAATACATTCAAATCTGTTTTTCCTGAATAATTTATTCTAGAGTTCTTATCATCTAGTAGTTCAGAATCTATCAATATAGTACTTATCTGATAGACTTTCGATAAATGTAAAGACATAGAACAGTAATGGATCTCAAAGAGGTTTTAAACAATGCAAATCTGTAAAGAGGACATAAAACACGAACCCCTGAAAATAACAGAAGAGGGATCGAGTGACCGAGAGGAGTAATAAAGCATCCCCTGTTGACCAGCCATGTCCTATAAAATATTGGCTTACTTTGAAATGTTAATTATAAAGACGTAAATAATTAAAACTATCGTAATGATTAAATTAATGTGAAAAACAACGTGTATTGAATCGTAGCATTTATTGAATAATAATGCATGTATGAGCACGCATTTCATGGCAAAAATATTTCATCTTAAGTACATGTAATACAGACGCAAATTAAATTTATATATGTACTTTTAATAAGACGTTTTTTAATACATCATGAGTAATTTCACTTAAAGGGCCATGCGAATGCCTGAAATGCTACGAACACTTGATGTTAAGCTACATGTTGACACAAGAGTATCTAATTTCCGTGTTCCTGTGGGAGCTTCTATAGAGCGATTGGGTAGCTGTTTATTTATCTGTTTATCTGCCCTGTTTATGGTACAGTTAGAAGGAATCTCAGTCGATGCATCTAACATACTGTTCATTGGGTAATGTTTATATACGAGACAATTTCCAATTCGTTTGAGTCAATAAAACGCTTATTACCTTGAATCATTCAGAATATTCATCAGTAATAGATTTAACCATAATATTTTTCAGTTTGCTGTCAACTGTGGGATCTCTAGCAATACCAGCTGTTCCCAGTGCCAGTATTGTTTCGCTTCTGATCGTCCTATCTTCCGTAGACATCAAAGTAAACAATATAGGTCTTCTTATGGCATTGGAGTGGTTCAAGTAAGCAAAGAGTTCGTCATTTAATAAAACATATGGAGATAACGAGAAGTATTTAAGATCAAAATTCCATGAAGCAATAAAAAATAGGAGCAGCTAGAGCAAACACGGACCTCCAAAACATCAGAAGTGGGATCAGGTGCCATGGAGGAGTAAGCATCCCCTGCCGACCTGTCATACCCGCCGTGTGCACCTTGTCATGATCGGGAAATAACGGAAAATCCGTCGTCAATTTAGTGTATAAATGATGGACTAACAATTAGTATGAAAAACGTCAGTCAGCATTTGACTCAGTGATAAATTGTATGTGCTGACGAGGTCTTTGTATCGACCGTAGAACTTACTGAAATGATGACTTTAAACGAGACTACAAATATTCTTGTTTTATCAACTTGTTTGTCAATAATTTACCTCGTTTTAGAAATTATCAATACGTAGAGCATGTCCATGCATATCGAAACAACTGGGATGTATAAACTATACAGGTGATAAAAGGTATGTTGCTGCATAACTAAGCGAAGTTAAATAAATTTTTCATCCGAAACTATTCTTAATGCTATCGAAGTCTACCTATTATAGACTACAATATATATTTTCGGAGGTTGTAATAATTATGCTTTATTGTTCTGATATATTTTATATACCAATAAGCAGTAATAAAATGTTGCATTGTTTTTAACAGTCATATAACATAAATTATATATATACATTGCATTTCAGTGACCGTATTCGATCCACTAGCAACACGTTGACGATCATTGTGGGGGCGGTTGTTATTGACAGACTCTGTCGGTCAAGTCTGAGGTCGGCATCAAACAACAGTCTTGAAGAAGATCCCACCAAAGAATCAGAGATCAAAGTTATTGTTGATAATGGATTAAATACCTCAAAGATTTAATAGCATGCTATTTTGCAAAAATTATTTGATTACTTTTATATGTAATTAACAATGTAAACAATAGTTGTTTTACACCATTCCACTGATTTTTGTATCAATTATAGCCAATGACTATTTTTTATTTATTTATATTTTTCAGTATGCTTTTACTGATGATTTCAATTTATATGAAATATTTGAAAAATGATCTGCCTGAATATTTGTTATTTCTTGTGATGAAAATGAATGTCAGTTTGTATGTATAATGTTAGAGATCAATGCTATATAAATATGAAATAGAATATTTGCATGTCAATTTGTATGTATAATGTTAGAGATTCTCCCTGTCAGCACTCTAGCTAATTATTTGTATAGTGTAAGAAAGCAATCAGTATGCATATAGTAATTACCCATAGGAATAACGCTGTGAATATCCTAGAGGATACACAGTGCATAACAATTTTGTTAGCTGCTGAGATTTCTTTAATGTATTTGAAGAAATACTGAAAAGTTAAAGGCTTGACATATAGCTAAATGTAATAGTAATTCATTGCACTGATTTATGCTTTATATAATCTTGTTACATTTAGTTATGTGAAATGGCAAAAAATATCTATATCACATGTAATTGTAATATAATGCATTTAACTTTCTTAAATCTAGAGTAATGGTGTAATTGTCGACATTATACAATTAATCCATTGTTTTATGTAAGCCCCAATCTTAAAATAACAAATTGACGTAGAAATTATTTTTTTCAGATTAGATAATATTTTTTTTTACTATTACTATTATTTTAACTATTTCATCTATTGGAATAAATTTTAATATTCTTAATATATATTTTGTGGTCTTGATGTGAAACCTCTTTCTATGCTCATTCTTAAAAATGGCAACATGTGAACGAGGTCGTTTTATGCATAGGACGAAGCAATTCTTTGAGAACAAACATACGACTTGTTTTTGATAATGACTAATTAATGATACATTTCAAAATTCCAATAAAATTAATAAGTCACAACTATCTCTTTTCACCTTTTCTTTTTTTACAATCCTCATTTACAATGTAAGTTTTTTTTTAATTTCTCCCAAAATCAAAGGGATGGTTGTATTCCCCATATCCATGGTAACGTCCCTGAATCTGCCATTGCATTTGAATTATGAGATAAAGATACACATACATGTATTTAATAATGATAAATTATTTAAGTAATCTTTTTTTAAATGCCAAAATCGAAGCATTTTATTTTTTTTTATCTCTATCAACTCCTACAATTCTGGCCCATTTAATTGTTTAAATAGATGTCTGAGATAATGAGAGAAAATTCTCAGGTAAACGTTAAAACGTATTTATATACTATCCCCGTACGTTGTCTTTAGTTCGCAGGTCCGCTGACCGTTGTGCTATGTCAGTTGTCTGAGATTCCGAAAGTGTTCAATTTAATATTTTAAAACTATCTAATCGGCAAAGAACTCAATATAAAGTCAGTGCAAACACTGTTAACATGTAGATAGCTTTGAATCACTATGATACCGCCTATGATACATATTTTGTGTGTTTACATTTTTCCGTTGTCAGAGCAGAAATTGGTTAATTGCACCAATGGCAATATGGGTGAAGGGAGGTCGTAATGATCTGCTGCACAATCCTTATGCTCTGATGACCACTTGTACCAAGTAGACAAGCATGAAAGATGAATGCTAAACATTCCAATTGCTATGAATTTTTATCAAGAAATGGACTCATCATTAGCGTTTTGGTTGGTGTGGGGGTGGGGTTCGCCTTAGGGTTTGGTCTAAGAGTCGTGGAACCTTCAGATGATGCACTTACGTGGATTGGTATGTTTTGAAACTTCTTTTTAAAATATATTTGCATGAGTATTTAAAAGATTTTTTAATAAATTGATATTTTCACTAATTATCTTTGTCTTCATTATGCATGTGTTTTACTATTTTATTATAAAGAATTCTTAATTTAATCAATAAAAGATTTATGATAATTCGAATCTTTTAATAAGGTTTACCAGGAGAAATATACATGAGGATGCTTAAAATGACAATTCTTCCTTTAGTTGTGTCAACTATCATCACGGGTAAGACACCAAAAAGTTAGATTCCATACAAATAAATAAAATACTTTGCTTTAATTTAAAACTCATGGTCAATCAAGAACAAATTTATTCTAAAGACTATGTACTTTCCCCTTCAAAATTATGTAAATGACTTAAAACATGAAATTCTTTTTTCCACAGGCACAGCTCGTATGGATCCGAAATCTAACGGCAGGATAAGTGCCCTGTCCTTTGGTTATATCATAATCACCAACACAATAGGAGCCATCATCGCTATCCTGTTATTCCTTATCATTCAGCCGGGTAAAGAATCTTTTAATGAAACTTTACTCCTTGATATTCATTTCTTATGTAATCAAATAATTCAGTGCTCATTTGTAAATTATAT